AAAAAGAATGAAGCAAGAAGAAAAAGAACTTATTTCCATAACATAATGCCAGGAAGTAAGCCAGCAACTTCTAGGTACAGGATCTGGTAGTTCAATCCAGCCCAGGAATATGTCTAGATAGAATGTAAGAGAGAAATACAGTGCAGAGCTTCATACATCAAATAATGGTTTGATCCAGTAAATCCAAACTCAGACCTGATTTTGATCCTATCAGAAGATTTTCCCTCCCCCCCACCACAAAAAAAGGATCAAGTCCAGATTGAGAAATATGCCACATCTGTAAATGATGCAGATAAAAAGTAAACAAGGCCAATGGTAATACCTGGTTGTGGGCTTGTTGCTCTCCATTGCTGTCAAAATTGGTTAACTCAGGGCAGGATTTCTCTGTTTTCAACTTTCCCACCGAAAGCATGTTTTCAGACATAACCTTTTTATCCAAGATGTGTGCATGTGCAATCTCATCTTCTACATCTGCATTTTTCTCATCTTTCTGAAACAAATCCTTGGAATTGCATTGGCTATCAGTATTTTTTTCGCAATCACTTTGAACCAAAGATTTCATCACGTCTGAATCAAGTGTTACTGAGCCCACCATTTGTTTAGTCAAATCACTATTTACATCCAAGTCAGAATGCATGGAGCAGGGCTTGCAGTCCACCTGACCATTTTCGGTCAAAATCTTGTCCTGAGAAGGTACTCCTTCATCAACACAGATGTCCTTGACGACATGATAAGGACCCTCTTTGAAGCAAACAATCAGCTCTGGCACTTCACACTCCATAACACTCTTATCAGTATAAAACTTTGTCACTTTCTCTGACAATTTGATTTCTCCAGAAGGAAGGACATATGTTGGGATGTGATCTCCAATCTTTCCTTCTCTGCCATTTATTAAATCATCCATGCTCACAAAATCGTGTAACCCTTTTACATTCCTTACATTCTCTCCAGTTTGTTTCTCCACTGGTAATGAATCCTTATCCATTTCACAACTTTGGCTTCTCAAGTCATATGAAATTTTGTGCTTGTCTTTCATGTTCTTGTTGTCTTTTTTCCATTGCCCAGTCTCCAGAGCATCATCAAAAGATTGGGTATCAGTCTTAGGAGCTGGACTTGGATGGCAAAACAGGGATTCACTATCTGCAGTTACACTTAATTTCTCAGTAAGGCAATGCAACAAATTTTAAAGTAGAAAACTGCTTTGTGCACTTGCAGTAACACTATACAAATCACAAAGGGACAAGCATCATTTCACACAAGGCAAGAGCATATATGAGCCAATCACAATTGCATACTGCAGTTTTAAGTTTGAAAAAGTTTCTCTGACTAAAATATAAACTTAGAAAAGAAAGAAAATGTAATCATTAAGCTAGAGTGTTCTGCAAAATTCATGGAGGCAAGATCAGAAGATTACCAAGTTTCATGCTTACATAAGTTGGGGAAGAAAATAAATCAAAAAATAACTATTTCTCTCAGCATTTTGAGCAGTCATCCATTGCAGCAAATAATATTGACTTGATCATCCCACCTGTTAGGAAAGGCAATCAGTTAGATCAATAACCAATTCTGAATTCGACAACTTGAAGAACTTTTAACATCAAGAGTAAGTAAATGATTAGATAAGACAAACATTTTTCTTCAGGTTCTTATGAATCAACGCTTTTGTTGAATTGACCACAAGTAATTAAAATGAGCTAAATAATAGTTACATACTTATGGAGTTTCATAAGAAGAACAGCCTACTGCATTAAAAGGCCAACAGAAGAAGCAACATGCATTCAAGGAAACTAAACATATGTGAAATTCATACGCAGGAACTAAATACAGACTCAAGAACAGCTTAAATTGGATAAAAACAACAATATTTATTATTATTGTTCTCAGAAATTAATATCATTTCAGAAAGAGACTAGGAAACATTTTGACTAAACCATGGATAATAAAGGTACAACTACAAACTGTTAACTTGCTCCAGTTAATTTTAAAATTTGATGGAAGTAAAATTGTCCATATTGATGAGCCACCAGCAATGGAAATTCTTGTATGATATGGATGTTAATTGTGCTTCTTTTTTCCATTGTCCTCAAATTTGTCATAGCAAAAAGCATCCAGAATAAAAAACAAACTTGCTTTCATTTGCAGTACAAAAATGTATTTTTACCAAAACATCTGCAAAACTGAACCAGAGTGCAAATTGGCTTACATTCAGCATTTGCACTCTTACCAAAATAAACATCGTATTTTATCTTACTACCAAGAAAAAGCCAAGGAAAAAGTAAAGCAGTACTTTGATACAACCAAGAAAGCAGCAAGAAGCGGAAAAGAGACCATATTAAACTCCAACAAAGTAAAGCACGGAAATTGGGAGACCGCCAGGTAGAAAGACCAAAGAACGTGATGTGTTTTCCTAACACACCTAACAGGAACCAGTCCCTTGAGCAAAAGGGAATCCATTAAAAGAAGAGAAAACGAACTAAAAATACACAGTTCTTTCCTTCATTTCAGCTTTAGTAGGGGTTTAGGGAAAAGGCTAGAAGCCATTAAAAGTATTAAAACTCATAAACTTGTTTCTAATCCATGTACAACCCCCCTCTGATTTTATAGAAGCATTGAAGTTGCAGGAATTATTTAAGGGGAAAAAAAGCATAAATAAATACACGCAAGTGCGTACTTTTTAAAAGGTTTGGGAATCTTCAATGAACATTAACGCAACTTCTGATTCAGAATCAAACAGGCTCCTCTGTTATAGCTATTTTTCTTGGCCCTTTATTCTTTCCTCTTGTCAGTTACCTTCAGTTAGATCTAAACCCATTCAAAAACTAGGGTTCCAGGTTTCTACCCACACGTGAAGGAATATCGAAAATGGCTTCTCTCAAAATTCCCGGAGAAAACCAGAAAAAAAAAATCCAAAACGGCCGAGGCTGAGAGATCTAAATTAGATCCCAAAAAATCCTCACAAGCCTCAGAAAGAACAAAAGAATGAATCGAAAGAATCTATTGGCTTTTTTTACCAAAAAAAAAAATGGAAAGAGAAAAGATAAATAAAAGGAAAAAGGAGGTACCTTTTGAATTTTGATCGGTCCAAAAATCAGTCCTTTTCTTGATTGCTTCAAAAGAGACAACCATTACCTTATCTGCAGAAGAAAAAGTAATCGTATGGAGACATAGAACAAATTAGACAGACAGAAGACAACAAACTCAACTTCTCAGATCAAGCGGACTCGATTCACGCCAACAGAACACTGGAACAACCTTAGCTCAAAGAAAAACCAAAACCTATTTCAAAAATAAAATAAAAGAGCACAGCGACAACCTTAGTTCCATTCTGCAGCAAAAAGAGAGATCCCCTCTCAAATTAATTCAAGACAACGGACAAACAGAAAATTATAAACCAGCCGGCGAGGAGTAGAAAATAGTCAAATTATATTGTCGGTTCGAGAGAGACAGAGAGGAGGAGGAGGAACCTAACCCTATACACTACAAAGTCAAATAACTCTATAGTATTTACTTTAGGAGCAGGCGAGCAGCTCATCTAAAGTTCAGAAGGTCCTAACAAAGCGGCAGGTTTTAGCATTAAATATCACAACAGAAAATAAATAAGCAGATTGTCTGTTTGCCAGCATTTACTGGCTTTACTCTACGAATGTTTATCATATATTCTTAATGGCTAATCTGATAATCTCCTGCACTGACCTGTAAACTTTCTATTCCGACGTATGCTGCCGGAGAAACGATATCTTCACATCTGTTATGTTCTCCTCCTCCTCCTCCAGGAGACCGCTTCCCGTCCACTTCTCCGGCGATTTCAAGGAAGTGCACACCGGACCGAGCTTTTCTCTCCGGGGAGATCGCGTCGTTACTCAGATACCAACAAGAGGTATCCGGTCGAACAAACAAGGTGTGTCCTGTATCTTCCGCTTCGGAGATGCTTTACAGTTGATTTCCGTGACGAAAACCGTGTTTCGCTCTGATTGAAAAGGACCGACTTGATCTTCGATGGAGAACAGGTTTCCGTTTTTTTCTCCAAAGACAGGAAGGGAAAAGACCGAGGAGATTAGCTCGGAGATGTTATGATTTGCATCGGATCTATAAAATACTCCTCGCTTTCAGAAAATTTGCTTCTTGTAAAACTTCTTCACATAAAATACAACCGCATAAAAGAGTCGTGGCCCGATACTTGAACCGAAACAGAAATTCCGTTACAGTCAGGAACTTGGTTTCAACCCAAAAACCTCAGTACCGCCGAAAAACCGAAATTTATCTTGCCGCCGGCAATTGATGTCTCCTTGATAGTTGAAGAAGTTCGCCGTAGAGTTCGTATCAGTCGACGGTAAAAACCCGGGAAAAAGTTTCGGTGGGATGGGCGAGATGTTCTTCTATCATATTTGATATTTCCCTCCCCTCATCATGACGAAAGAGTTGGGCAGACTTGAGCTGGGCCGGTTAATCAGTTTCCTTGTTTTATTTATTCATTTGAAAATTGCAAAAGGTCCTTTCAGCGAAAAAAAAAAGAAGGAAAATTGCAAAGACCAATCTATTTTGATATTTTCTCTTTTATTTTTTTTGAAAAAAACAAAATTAACTGTTCTAATCGAATGATCCTTCAACTCTCTGACTTCCACGTGGAAAATAGATATGGACTTGCTTGGCTGTACCGGTGGCAATTGGCCAGCTCTGCATCTGCATGACAGTGACGTCAATTAGTGACGAGGGAAGGGTAAATAATAGAGTCGCGATTCAGTGGGACCACCACTTCTGAGTTCGCACATTTGTTACTTTGAACATCTCGATCCCAGTTGATTAATGTGCTTCTGCTTGGGCTTGGCCACCCAAAGTCGATCACGAATCATGATGAACAAAGAAGTCAGACCTAATAGTAATAGAGTAACGAAACGAAAGCACTACCCAATGAATAATTGAATTTCCCACCGTTATACGATCTGTTGTTTTTACTGCTTAACAGCCTTTTGACTTTGATGGTGGCTTTTCCTTTATATATTTATTTTCTTCTTTTTTCAAAATAAATAAGAAATCGTGAAGATGACGCAAACGTGACGGTCGCTCTACTCATTACCACGGTGATTAGCCAGTAATGAGGGGGTAATGAGTAATGAATGACAAAACCGCAGTGGTGGACTCCAGCGGCGCACGTTAGATTTTCTGCCACGTTCATTGCTGAACCCGGTCCAATAATCTATTGACACCAAGGCCAACGGTCACTTCACGTGAGAAAGTTGGATTTAAACCAATAACAGTATGGAATATGGATAGGCGGCCTGGCCTGCCAAGTGCCAATTGACGGGCTGCCCAGCCCAGTCCACTCCAGTCCAATCCGGTATCTTCATTCATGAGTAATGAGTTGAGCCTCTTTCTTTTTTTTTTTTTTGTTTTTGCTGTCCCACAAAGTCACAAACAAGCATTCTGAGTTGTGATGTTTACTGAGAAGCAGGCAAACAATACTGCTCGCTGAGTCGAAGCATAGTTGTGCAACTTATGGCTGTCGTATGTCAACCCAATACACCGTCAGATCGCGATGTGCATGCACAAGATCAACCATTAATCCAATTGAAACAAGTTGGGTTTCCTACATTTTCTCATATTTCATCGAGATTACAAGAAACACCTTATATCCGTGTGAGAGTTTGGAAGTGGAAATGAAATTAATTGAACAAAAAGATTTTTATTTTTTTAAACATTTCAAAGCTATTCATATATTAACAATTCTTCGACCTAAAGCCTACCAAATTGCATGCATCTTAATAATAGGTGATATGCGCAATCCGGCCGGTCTTAGCTGTCAACGATCTTGCCTCTGAACTGAGTAGCAGGGAATCTGAAACGGAGGAGATGAGGAAGCTCCGGGGGGAACCCGGTGTAAAGGCTCCGAAACTCAAGTTAGAATCTTTCAAAGGCAAGATAAAACCAGATAGCGCAAAGTTTGCATACCTCTTCTTTGGGGGGGTGGAGAGCCTTTTATAACCACCTCGCGCACTCACTCTTAGACTTCTGTCAGGTCGGGTATGATTACTTCCRTGCTTCTGCCAGTTCGGGTGTCATCGCCTCTGCTGGGACAGAACCGTCACTGCTCTTTTTGTCGGAGCCGTCTCTGTAACTGGAGATGGCGGTGGCAGGTGACGGTGGCAGGCGGCCGTTGAAGTGCGGTTTTTTCGGTGGTTCGGTGAGCACACAGGACACTTGGTAGCTCATCCGCCCACAACCCTTTAGCTCGGTCTAGTCGTGCTTTCAGTCCTCAGAGGATGGCTCTGTTCATTACTTCTGTCTGACCGTTTGCCTGCGGGTGTGCGACCGACGTGAAGTTCTGACGAATTCCCATACTTTGGCGCCATTCTTGGAACTTGATATCCTCGAATTGTTTGCCGTTGTCGGAGATTAGTACCTGAGGTAGCCCGAAAGGAACATACTATGTTCTTCCAAAAGAAGTTCTGTATGTTTCGGGCTGTAACTGTTGCTAGAGGTTCAGCTTCTATCCACTTTGTGAAGTAATCTACT